TTTTTTTAAATATAAACGGTACATTCTCGACTATCTTAAAAATGTGGACCTTGCGCGGTTTAAGTGGGGTGGGGGGTGGTGTGGGTGCGTACGTACCCATCACAATTACTACGGGCCTGTGATGATGACTTCGTATATCATGACAAATTATGCTTTAGAATTATCTATGCTATTTTAATTTTTTAAATGTTTATTTAAGATTTTTTTCAAATATAAACGGTACATTCTCGACTATCTTAAAAATGTGGACCTTGCGCGGTTTAAGGGGGGGGGGTGGGTGCGTACGTACCCATCACACTTCCTACGGGCCTGTGATAATGACGACTATGGTGATAATAATATTGATAATATCGTGAATACCTTTCATCTTTCCAGAAGATGCAGCCAACATATCTGAATGTATCAGCAGTGTATTAGCTGTCTCTTATACACATCTAGATGTGTATAAGAGACAGAATCATAACTTACTAAAGGCCGCTCCTTCCTTGTTCATTAAAATGAAACCTCTGTCTGTCCCGATGATTCTTTTTTCTTTGTTTCCACACGTTGACCGCAATAGACTAATGCTATTTTTAACCTCTTTGTAGAGTCTGGATTTTCCAAAGTATGGAACGCAGTGTTAACACTTGCAACCATTCCCTTGCTTTTATCGTTTCTGGCATTCATTCTGCCGGTCCTTCATATCGACATTTTCATTAGTCAATAAATACTAACATAATATTTCAACAACAACTGTACTTTTGGTATTCAGTATCGATCTTACCGTAGTTACCTTTATATCAGTGGTGTACAGAAAAAGTACTGGGCCGTCCAGAAACACATTAAACACACAAACAGTCCAAATAACGTACACAGTATATCATGTAACATCAACTGAAGAAAACCCAACTACCATTAATTAAATATTAAATTCAGTTTTGTGGTGATCGAGACTGTAAATTCATGTTTAGATAAAAGCTACTGTAGGTCTAGCACAGGTTGTGAAAAAAAATCAACCAAATGAGCAAAATAATACACAATACATAACATAATAGAATATTGCTATGGACATTAGCGGTTATTAGTTTAATTATGATGATTTCGCCTATGTTATTAATTATATTTTCTAATATGTTACCGTATATAAAAATAAACAATTTTATGTTCTGCTGAGCCATTATCGAAGTTACAGGAATATGAAAGGGAATTGTATTGTGGGTCAAATGTAGGTGTGCGCATTTCTGGCCATTTATTATTCAAGGTTTATTAATCAAGATTGTTAACGACAGCCATTGGCTGAAATGAAACGTCTGAACATCATACAGAAACATCAAAATAAAATGTTCTAATAGATAAATAAAATATTATTAGATTAACACCAGCACATATGTTTTTGAGAATTTCAACTATGACCCCATCTTACTATGAAGGTTTGAGCAGTTATGTAATGCCTAAGTGCTTTCTGGGGAAACGCTTACTTCCTCCAAGTCCAAATAAACTCCGGATAGACCAAGGGCCCCACTCATTATTACCTAGCAATCTAATACGACGCTTTTCATAATACGGTACACTTTCTTTTAAATTTCAAAAATGTACGAAGCTCGGCTGGCTGCATCCCCATCCACTTTAAAATCCGCCTCCACCCTTAAACGTGGCAATAAATAAATAATTAAATGTATGATCCGTCATAGATAGTAGGCCTATTATTCAGTACAAAGATAATATTATAAACACATTAAAATCGATTAAATAATTTATATAGTCTTCCTAATTGAGATATGTGGTTGATAAAGGCCTAAAACACTATCGATTGGACCGTAAAGAAATATGATCATTTTATTCAAACTGGCCTTATCATGTTTCAGACCAACATAATTCGTGGTATCGAAGTGACACTCTACTTTATAAAATCAATTAATTTAGATACCCAAACGTCTTTATTGGTATTTTCTTGACTATTAGACGCAGTGGCGTCGAGAGGGGCAGGGGGTTGTTGCCCCGGGGCCCGGGTCTATTGGGGGCCCGGACAAAGATGAAAAAATTTCGGGTTAAGAACAAAATTTCGATAATATTATACACACATTAAAATCGATTAAATAATTTATATAGTCTTCCTAATTGAGATATGTGGTTGATAAAGGCCTAAAACACTATCGATTGGACCGTAAAGAAATATGATCATTTTATTCAAACTGGCCTTATCATGTTTCAGACCAACATAATTCGTGGTATCGAAGTGACACTCTACTTTATAAAATCAATTAATTTAGATACCCAAACGTCTTTATTGGTATTTTCTTGACTATTAGACGCAGTGGCGTCGAGAGGGGCAGGGGGTTGTTGCCCCGGGGCCCGGGTCTATTGGGGGCCCGGACAAAGATGAAAAAATTTCGGGTTAAGAACAAAATTTCCATAGGGCCCGAGCCCAAGCCAGGATGAAAACTTTTGTTGTCAGATTTAGGAGCAGGTGAAGGGGGACCCCATGTGAGGTGTTGCCCGGGGGCCCTTACTGGCTCTCGACGCCACTGATTAGACGACCTGAAGAAAAAGTGATCCAGAACTATTAGGCCTACAATTAATATGGGAAAAGTGAATTTTTTACTGTCTCCGATGTTTTATAGTATTAATAAAGCCTATTGGTATATGTTGGAATGGTACCTTATAGAATAACCAGGTACCTTATAGAATAACCAGGTACCATAGAATAGTATAGAAAATGCTTGAAACAATAGACACTGACGGAATTTAAAAGGGAAATTAGCTTGTTTTGGAGTAGGTCTCTTTCTAGACTTTCTACTCTCCTTTTTTCTCCATTTTTTTTGTTTTTTGTTTTTTTGTGGAAGTGTGAGGGTTGGGGGTTGGGATTACTCCGTGCTCCCTGGACTCGCCCCTGATAACGATTGATTGAATGATTGTTTGATAATGTTTATTTAGATTGGCAAAGCTACATTGGAACTTAGATTAATACATTTACGAATAAGCATGTAACTTATGCACGATAATGAAATGCATGTACCCAAAATGACGATTTAGGCAGACTTGATTTATATGTTGAACGCAAAATTGCTCATAGTCGACATGTCAACAAATAGGAAAACACAACAAATTTGCCTCAGCCACCATGGAATTAGTTATCGTCTTCTTGACTTTCGTAGTCTAGTGTATTACCGCAGACAGTACAATTGCAAAGTCCTGTACACTTCAAGTTGTTTTTTTTATGCCGCGACGTCGACACTTTACAAGTTCAAGAACAGCCTTAGGTGCAGGAAGTTCAGCGAAAATTTCTTTGGAGAAACTGTTCCTTCTGTTGTTTTCTCTCATCCTTCCTTATATCAGCCATGTTTCTGTTGTTAGTAAATTAAAACTAAGACCATTGATGAATGAATGCTTCTTATTAGTTGAACGTTTACAAATGGTAAATCCTTTTTTGGCAGCATACAGATTGTTTCTTTATTGGTTATCAAATACATTAACTGTTACATTATGTACAGCTCTTTTTAATTTTAATTTATGTAATGTAGGCTACGCGATCCCCTTGCATCTCGGGGGCTCATTGGGCTTGGAAGAACAAGTGTTTCTCCAGAAAGCACACAGGCGTTACATAACTGGTTAAACCTCCATTATAGTAAAATTATTGGTCGCAGTTGGAGCGACCCCTTTTAATAAATTTGCCAAAGAGCGTGTTTGTGGGATTTCGGTTTTTTGAAAATTATAATTACCATAGTGTCAAGGCGGTAATAAAATGCTGGGTGGTCAGTAGTAAGAAGGGTGCCCACTTGGTCCAAAAAGCACATGCATTACGCCACCGTTAAGGCCGATAATAAAGTGCTAGGTACGGTGTAGGATCCCCTCACGTGATCTCATTTACAAAACTGGGCCATGTTTATTTTAATACGGTATGCCATAATTGGTCTTTAAGGGAAATTATATGGAAAACTACACCGTAATTTATATATGTGAACTATAAAACATTATTCAGCATCTGAAGAGCTTTCCAACGATACAAAACACGACAACTTTGGGTGAGTTTGATTTTTGGACCTTTTTTCCCTTTGTGCAACGTGGCTTATTTATTTGTCTTTATCTCTGTAAATCGGCCTAAGTGTATAGGTGTAATGGAACGAAATTACTAGCGTATATCGACATTGACACCAAACACGACCATGTTTTATGTGGTGCCGCTTGGTCATCTTGAAATTCAAATGGCGGCTGATAACGTGGATAAAAAAAAAGGCACCTAACTTTTTTTGATTCAGCACACAAAAAATAATAAAGTTACCGGATAAATTCATTTTGTCACAAACATCTAGTTGGATTACATAGCAAACTGTACAATTATTTGAAATACCGGTTTTAGAATTACCGCCAGACGGTGTAGAGTTTTAAATATCTTGTATTATTAATATATAAATAAATGTATACAGTATAGTATATACTCCAGGTATTCAACCTTTTTAAGCCGGTGGCCAGTTGCAATGTGTTGACCAGCCGCGGGCCGATATGGTGTACTTCCATAGTGCCCATTATCTTAGAGTTTTTTTCTTTTCGGATTGTATTTTGTATTTCTCATTCATACGAGTGTACGATGAGAAAATACACGGGCGTGTCAGAAATATTCGTGTTGAATAAATTTACGTCTCTATTATGTCAACGTATGCAATCGTTTTATTTCCGTTTGCGTTTATTCTTATATATTTCTGTGAAACATACGTGGATCTTACTACATCAGATGTTATATATATATATATGTATGTATGTATGTATGTAAGGTACGGGTTTTACTCGTCTCCTTATACTAATACAGCACAGCAATTCCAAGTCTTATTAATTGGTCCATGACATACCATGGATGAATTAAATTCCTAATTCCCCAATGATTATATTACATGTTAAATATTCATTCACTTTCTTGTTCTTATATTGCATATGGAATTCCTATATAAATCAATGGTTAATTCATGTAGAACTACGTTTAATGTTAAAGGTCCATGTTAAATTTTATGTAACGTTACATAACGATTTCCGTAGACGCTTTGGTAGATTTTATTGTGCCTTGTGTTGCTACGCAGGAATAAGGAGTTCACATTATTAATTTTATTTTTTATTTTATAAATGTATTTTTGATAGATTCCATAACAGTTATATTTATTTCAACAAATAACTTGTTGGTAAAGAAAGTAATCTAACTTTATACTATCACAATAAGCGTGTAAAGGATTTCCGTGTGTTTTTATTATTCAACGTTAAGCTAATTATTTAATTATATATTTATATTTTATTTATGTATATATGTATACATATATAATATATATATATATATTTGTATGTATATATATGTGGACTGAGAATAGCTAAAATGTGACTATATGAGGTAATACCACGCTTTTTAGGCAAAGAGATTACTTATTATCACCGTATGCCCTCAAAGTGAGCATCCACTGCTCGCAAGTTCGATAGTGTTTTCATTAAATGCACAACCCCTCTGAATTGGGCAATAACGATTGATAATGTAAATGTAAATTTATATTTTTTTTGTAAAAGCGCTATATAAATGCTTTTTAATAATAATAAATAATAATATCCCAAAGTATTATTCTCCACTGTGAATACGAAGGTGTAGCGCGATGAATAGGTATTTATGTTTTCCACCTCATGGTATACTGAGCCTATAAAAGTGAGTGTAAATATGTGTAAAAATGACAATAAAAAAGAAGCAGAAAAAACTAAATTATAAAGAATATTGAATGAACTTATTTAAAGTTGTACGGTATTTATTACACAAAATACTACAAAGACTGATACCTAAGCTACAATTAAAGTGCCAAATATTTCAAAACAAGTATACTGTACTAATAATACCAGTTATGGTTTAGATTAAATAAAGTGCATTTGTTTTATTTTCATTCAAAAACATACAATTATTATCGATTTTATACATTGTAGAATACTTGTAGAAGTGACAGTTGGTTTCAGTAGGCTCACACTCTATTCCAGACTTAAGATATCGCAACGTGACAATTGCTATATCGAGTGTAAAATTATTGTAATAGTGAACTATTCAATTTATATAAAAATACATTTTCTACAATAATATACTGTATTTATATCATGATGGAATGTATAATAATAATAATAATAATAATAATAATAATAATAATAATAATAATAGAGTAAAACTTGCCTAAGTCGACTTTGCCTAACTCGAATAAAATCGATCTATTTTACAGGTCAAATTGTTGTGTTTTCCATTAATTAACGACATGTAAGTCGAATTTTATAATAATAATAATAATAATAATAATAATAATGATAATGATATTAATAATAAAGCAAATAAATGAAGTGCTTACCACAAACTTTAATCAAGATAATACGAAACAAAACATATAATGTAAAACGTTTTTTACTACATCTTTGATTCTGCTGTAGGCCTATGCAGTGGTACAGGTTCCTATACCAAATCAAGCGAAACAAAAGTTAACACAGCCAATGTAATATTTTCTAAAATTAACATACTAGTAGCCAAATGGTACAGACAGTATATACAGTCAGGATGATAAAAACCATACCATAAATCAGTTTCAGTTTTAGTTTCTTTATTTACATCAAAATCACAGGAAAGGCTGAATTACATGATATTTACAATTACAAAAACATCAATCAAGCAAAAGCACAAGGCATGAAAAATGGATATAAAAGTAACATTAAAATACATTAAAATTTAAAAACATTAGAAATTCACAAAAGATAAAAATTGTTTAATACCGGTATTGAATATTTCTGCTTCAAATACTGTAATCCAATATGATCAGAAGCATGCAAACACAAATGCTGAATATTACTGTCCACTTTTATTATTTACTCTGAAAAATAAAACAAATAAAATGATTATTAGTAAGTCTATCACTAAAATATTGCATGTAAATTAAATAAAGAAAAAACATTTTACATTACATGGAATGAAGAAAATTTATGTAGCCATTGCAGGCTTACCCTTTAGATAGGCCTAGGCTTTTCCAATATTTCTAAGGCCTACAAATGTGTGCCTACAATATTCTATTGTAACACTTGCAAGAGTAATAGAGTGAGACACTAATATTGACGTGGCTCCTTCGGATAAAGAGAAAACAATTCGTCGGAGATAAAAAAAAAATTGTAATTTTTCCAAAGGTGAGACAAATTCGGTTGAATAAGGCTTTTAATACCGCTAAATTGTTGGGAGTTTCCAAGTGATTTACCCCCTGCTTCCATTTTAGAGGTTCTGGCCCTGTCTCTTATACACATCTAGATGTGTATAAGAGACAGGTGTAATTATGGGTAAAATGACGATAAAAAAGAAGCAGAAAAAACTAAATTATAAAGAATATTGAATGAACTTATTTAAAGTTGTATTTATTACACAAAATACTACAAAGACTGATACCTAAGCTACAATTAAAGTGCCAAATATTTCAAAACAAGTATACTGTACTAATAATACCAGTTATGGTTTAGATTAAATAAAGTGCATTTGTTTTATTTTCATTCAAAAACATACAATTATTATCGAGTTTATACATTGTAGAATACTTGTAGAAGTGACAGTTGGTTTCAGTAGGCTCACACTCTATTCCAGACTTAAGATATCGCAACGTGACAATTGCTATATCGAGTGTAAAATTATTGTAATAGTGAACTATTCAATTTATATAAAAATACATTTTCTACAATAATATACTGTATTTATATCATGATGGAATGTATAATAATAATAATAGAGTAAAACTTGCCTAAGTCGACTTTGCCTAACTCGAATAAAATCATCGATCTATTTTACAGGCCAAATTGTTGTGTTGTCCATTAATTAACGATAT